TTTTTCTACTGTTACTTGAAGCGAGAGTACGAGAAAACCTCACCGAAGGTGTGTTGTCGTCTGGTCATGAAGCAGTTGCAGCTCTTTAAGCCGTGGGATCATCCTGTGGTTCTTGTCTGAAGTTTCCAGAAACTGGAATGACTGAGTCAGCTCAACGGAATGAGAAGAGAAGCGGGGAGGATTTGCGGGATTTGGTTGTTCTGGGAGTAACTCGTTTAGCTGGTTGGCACCTACAGACTGGGGTGTGGGGTGGGGCGGTACAGACTGGGGTGTGGGGGGTGTAGACTTGGGTGTGGGGCGGTACAGACTTGGGTGTGGGGCGGTACAGACTGGGGTGTGGGGGGTGTAGACTTGGGTGTGGGGTGGTACAGACTTGGGTGTGGGGCGGTACAGACTGGGGTGTGGGGGGTGTAGACTTGGGTGTGGGGGGGTGTAGACTTGGGTGTGGGGCGGTACAGACTGGGGTGTGGGGGGGTAGACTTGGGTGTGGGGGGTGTAGACTGGGGTGTGGGGTGGTGTAGACTGGGGTGTGGGGGGTGTAGACTTGGGTGTGGGGCGGTACAGACTGGGGTGTGGGGGGTGTAGACTTGGGTGTGGGGGGTGTAGACTTGGGTGTGGGGGGTGTAGACTGGGGTGTGGGGTGGTGTAGACTGGGGTGTGGGGGGTGTAGACTTGGGTGTGGGGCGGTACAGACTTGGGTGTGGGGTGGTACAGACTGGGACGTGGGGGGGGGGGGGTCTGCTTAAGTGTATTAGCCAATCCGGAGTTGTCTAGTGGGGGGGGGGGGGGCTACTTGTGGGAGTCAGTTGTAACTCGAGTTGTTTCTTTAATACGTTGTTGGTGATTCAGTTCATTCGTTTTTCTCGGTGTTGGAGCCACGTACTCAAGTACTTCACAGCTGTGAATTGAACACATTTGGAGCCAGGTACTTAAATACTTCACGGCTGTGAATTGAATGGAACACATTTGTCAAGTACTTCACGGCTGTGAATTGAATGGAACACATTTGGAGCCAGCACCAGCCGCCCAATGTTTCCACACCAGCTACGGGGTAATCAAGTAATAGTTTGTAATCGATTCTTCGTATTCATCCGCGCGAACCTTTGGGATGCGATTTCTACAAATGGCCCATTTCTGTAGATGTCTTTCCTCCCCGGCCCCATTCCCCCATCACCCCCACCCCCGGTCTCCCAACAAAGGAAGACGCCATGCCACTCGTTAAAAAATGAAACAATAAATATATGCGTCAACCGAAGCCATTTTGTTCTTTTAAATCCCCGAAAATAACTAGCAAACGATGTAGGCGACACCGGCTCATTTCTCTTGCTCTGACATGCGCACTCATTGAGAGAAGCAGAGCCAATCATCGAATCGCTTTTATCCTCTATTTGTACCCCAAGTCATCGCCCCTAAAACCACTTGGGGTTGGGGGTGGGGGAATGGCGTGCTCCAGCATGCACCAGACGAGCGGAAGTGACGTGCATCCATCATCGTCTGACACACACACTACACTACACACACACACACACACACAGTCTTGCAACCTGATGCAGATACCCCAAGTATACCCCACATCAACTGCACCACCAGTCATATACAAGCATTATTCTCAGCGGATCCTGAAGCAGAAGACTTTGACACCATCTCACAGGCGATGACTAGCCCTACTTCCGGTCATCTTACAGAAGATGAATAGCCCTACTTCCGGGTTGGTAGATCTACCGATAGAGACTTTTAACATCAGACACCAGTACACGTGGCGCTTATGTCAATGGCCTTAATGGCGCATAACCAGTTGACACGTACACTGTGTTGGAGGGGATCCCTTCCAACATTAAAATTAAGAACGAAGAAGAAGAATTTGATCAAGGAATAGATTTTTGGAATCATTGCCGAATAGAGGATGATTTTTTAAATATTTTACCAGTTAAAATGATAGCACAATTTTTGTTCTTAGATCACACACTGAAGACATGTAAAAAGACAACGATATAGTCTGTCTATGATAAAGACACTACGTGAGACAGGTTGGGAAGACAGTCGCAGACAGCTATGTCGTGTACTCAGTAAGGTCACGACATGACCTAAGATGACCTTCTACTGACCCGGCGACTAACGACCTCGTTCAATAACCGCTCTTAACATTTTCTGCTCCTGTAGAAAAACGCCACGCGAAAGACCAAACAAGCGCATTAAATATTAAAACGGGCGCCGGCCCAGACTGGGTGACCCACAGTGGGGCGCCTGACGCGGGGGCCACAGGTTAGCGTGTAGAGGGGCGTCTGGGTCGTCTGGCCGGAAGTCAGCGATCGTCTGCAATCTACCACCAAACGTCTGCAATCTACCACCAAACGTCTGCAATCTACCACCAAACGTCTGCAATCTACCACCAATAGTCTGCAATCTACCACCAATAGTCTGCAATCTACCACCAATAGTCTGCAGTCTACCACCAATAGTCTGCAGTCTACCACCAATCGTCTGCAGTCTGTCCATCGGATTGACCAGTTACTTCTTGTTTTTCTACATCTGCTAGCTTTAATCACGTGACAATCTGCCACCCCATCGCGAAGTGTTGAAATTTTTTTATATAAAACAAAGTCTAAAAAAAAACTAAAAAGAGTTTAATACTATCTACACAAAAACAGGCTATTCTAAATACTACCACAAACTAGTTCACAAGCTAAAGTACTCACCCACACTAACCTACACTAACCTACGCTAACCATGTAGTCAGAGTTTCTTCCAGGCATCTCTCCGAAATTTTTTTACCACCCCCCCCCCCCGAACGAAATGAAATTTATATAATTTAAATAGAAAATATATACTTTTAACAGTGTCCGCCTCCCCCCCCCCGAAGAAAGTCTACCGCCACCCCCCGAAAATTTCAAGTGCCCCCCCCCCCCCCGGGAAAAAAGTCTGGAAGAAACACTGCTTGTAGTCGTAACGTACAGGACTGAGGCAATCATACACGCTCTCACACACCTTATATACCCGTACAGAACACAGGGACCAACCCGAATGGTACAACTCACCACACGAAGATTCAGTGGCGTAGCGAGGGCGTGTGTCACCCGGTACGGCAATTAATGGTGTCACCCCCAGAGGCGTAGCGGGCCTTAACGGGGACAAACTTTCAATTTTAGATTTGCACCCCCCTCAATCTTTCAATTTGCACCCCCCAACCCCCCCCCCCCCTCAAACTTTCGATTTGCACCTCTTAAAACACTATTTTACACTCGAATTAATCACTTAAATAAGCCGAATCATCATTTTTATCTATATATTTTGCTATTTTTGCTTTGGTGACACCCCCTAAATGGTGTCACCCGGTGCGATCCGCCCCCCCCCCCTCGCTACGCCTCTGCGAAGATTGAACAGGGACAGGTACAGAGTACAAACAACATTTACCCCCATTGACCCCCTTCAACTATTCGCGACCGAAACTAATATTTTTAAAATCTTTTGTTATATCTCTATGTTTGATGTGACGTTAGTGTTCTAAGTGGATATATGCATTAAAGTAACATTTATTTTGATACGCTGTAACACTTCTAAATCAAACGACTTAAAGAAAAAAACAATTAATATTTTTTTTTGTAGAGCACATTTTATATTTCACAAAATACACGTTTTTCAAACCTTTGAAAGTTTGATCATGCATGTAGGGCAATACATCTAGAATGTATAAATACTTTATGAAAACATAAGACTAAAATATAAAAATAATTTTATCATTGAAAAGATCAGATATCGCATTGCTAGATCACAGTTGATTCAGTGCTTACTAGCGGGACCCATATAATGTCTGTGGTACCCACTAGCTAACTAGCGGTATCCACACAATGTATGGGGTACCCACTAGCTAACTAACGGGACCCATACAATGTCTGTGGTACCCACTAGATAACTAGCGGGGCCCATACAATGTATGGGGTACCCACTAGCTAACTAACGGGACCCATACAATGTCTGTGGTACCCACTAGATAACTAGCGGGGCCCATACAATGTATGGGGTACCCACTAGCTAACTAACGGGACCCATACAATGTCTGTGGTACCCACTAGCTAACTAGCGGGGCCCATACAATGTCTAGGGTACCCACTAGCTAACTAGCGGGACCCATACAATGTCTGGGGTACCCACTAGCTAACTAGCGGGACCCATATAATGTCTGGGGTACCCACCTGCTCATTAGCGGGACCCACAGATCAACGCACTGATCCTGTTCTGTGTGAATGTAGTAAAATCAAACATGACCTTTGACACGACCTTGAGTTTTTCTAGCACTCTGCTGACAACTTCCGCTCAAGACAGACAAGAGGGTGAGGAGGGGGGGGGATACGGGAGATCACTGGGTCACAAAACTCCACCCTCCCACCCCCCTCTCCCCACCAGACGTGACCAGTATTATTGCTGTCAGTCTAAAGACCACGTGATGTCTTTTAACGGTTCCAGAAACTCTGACATTCACAGTCTTAGAAATCCTGGAGCAATGGCTGCCAACATTCTAACACATACAGTTTCTTGAACTTCTCAAGTTGGAGAATCATTAATTAAAAACACTGTATGTTTAATAAATATTTTGATGGTGTAGCTGTAACAAGTAGAATCGATGTCTATGACTTTCTGAGTCTTGGTGTGGATTTTAATGTATTTAACAATGTGCCTAACTTGGTATTACAAACAGGGGGCACATACAGCGTCCCATAACTGGACAATGGTCAGACAAAGATGTAACACGGTATAACAGGGATGAGACAGGTGTAAGATAGCGGGTAGAGAGGGTATCAGACAGTGATAAGACATTGGACTAACAGGGGTCAAACAGGGGTCAGACAGGGGTCAGACTGTGGTCAGATTGTGGTCAAACAGGGGTTAAACAGGGGTCAAATAGGGGTCAAACAGGGGTCAAACAGGGGTCAGACAGGGGTCAAACAGGGGTCAGACTGTGGTCAAACATTGGTGAAACAGGGGTCAGACACCGGTCCACTTACCAACATGCCGTAGCTGGACTCCTCATACACAATGCTGACGTACTTCCACTGGAAGTGCTTGACCAGCGAGACGATGGCCTCCGCCTGGTACACGTCACTAGGGATGGTCCGGAAGAAATACGGGAACCTCTCTCTGTTGCTCAACACGGGGCTCGTTGAGAAGAAGCTGATCTGGGGAAGGCACAAACCTGGAGGTTTAGTGGTCAGTCATGGAGGTTTAGTGATAAGTCATGGAGGGTTAGTGGTAAGTCAGGGAGGTTTCGTTGTAAGTCGTGGAGGTTTAGGCACAAACCTGGAGGTTTAGGGGCAAATCATGTAGGTTTTGTGGTAAGTCAGGCAGGTTTGGTGGTAAGTCATGGAGGTTTAGTGGTAAGTCAGGGAGGTTTAGTGGTAAGTCATGGAGGTTTGGTGGTAAATCAGGGAGGTTTAGTAGTAAGTCATGGAGGTTTAGCATGGAGGTTTAGTGGTAAGTCATGGAGGTTTAGTGGTAAGTCATGGTGGTTTAGTGGTAAGTCAGGGAGGTTTAGTGGTAAATCATGGAGGTTTAGTGGTAAGTCAGGGAGGTTTAGTGGTAAGTCAGGGAGGTTTAGTGGTAAGTCATGGAGGTTTAGTGGTAAGTCATGGAGGTTTAGTGGTAAGTCATGGAGGTTTAGTGGTAAGTCATGGAGGTTTAGGGTCAAATCATGGAGGTTTAGTGGTAAGTCAGGGAGGTTTAGTGGTAAGTCATGGAGGTTTAGGGTCAAATCATGGAGGTTTAGTGGTAAGTCAGGGAGGTTTTGTGGTAAGTCGTTGAGGTTTAGGGACAAATCTGGAGGTTTAGTGGTAAGTAATGGAGGTTTAGTGGTAAGTCAGGGAGGTTTAGTGGTAAGTCAGGGAGGTTTAGTGGTAAGTCATGAGGTTTAGGGTCAAATCATGGAGGTTTAGTGGTAAGTCAGGGAGGTTTTGTGGTAAGTCGTTGAGGTTTAGGGACAAATCTGGAGGTTTAGTGGTAAATCATGGAGGTTTAGTGGTAAGTCATGGAGGTTTAGTGGTAAGTCATGGAGGTTTAGTGGTAAGTCATGGAGGTTTAGTGGTAAGTCAGGGAGGTTTAGTGGTAAGTCAGGGAGGTTTCATGGTAAGTCATGGAGGTTTAGTTGTAAGTCAGGGAGGTTTAGTGGTAAATCATGGAGGTTTAATGGTAAGTCATGGAGGTTTAGTGGTAAGTCGTGGAGGTTTAGGGGCACATCATGTAGTTTTTAAGGTCACATCTTGTAGGTTTTATGACAAATCATGTAGGTTTAGTGAAAACTGATGTAGGTTTTGTGGCGAATCGTGTAGGTTTAGAGACAAATCATGTAGGTGTAAGTTGTGTAAGTGTACGAAAACGATTTTGTTTACCCTTAATATTAAGGCGCGGAGACTGTCAGATACCAACCTCTGAGGTTTAGAGTCAACAGAACAAATCGTGTTAAGGTTTTCAGCAACAAACCTTTAAGGTTTCAGTTCTATAAGTATAAACACGTACGTTCACCAGCAGAAGCAATAAGAAAAAAAAAAACCCTTAATAAACGTAAAGATTTTGAACTTTTCCAAGAAAAGTCTTAAAGTTAACAAAAAATTAAAAGCAACATATTTAGATTGAAAGAAAATCATGTGATTTGGAACGTAATTAGGTTTAATTAGTCACCCCTTGATTAAAATGTAACGAGCGATGCTATATTATAAGATAACAAGCAGTTTTAGCTATCAGCAGTAGCGTACTCCCATAACCCATAACTGTACCAAACTCCCATAACTCATAACTGTACCAAACTCCCATAACTCGTAACTGTACCAAACTCCCATAACCCATAACTGTACTAAAATCCCATAACCCATAACTGTACCAAACTCCCATAACTCATAACTGTACCAAACTCCCATAACTCATAACTGTACCAAACTCCCATAACCCATAACTGTACTAAACTCCCATAACCCATAACTGTACCAAACTCCCATAATCCATAACTGTACCAAACTCCCATAACCCATAACTGTACCAAACTCCCATAACTGTACCAAACTCCCATAACCCATAACTGTACCAAACTCCCATAACTGTACCAAACTTCCATAAACCATAACTGTACCAAACTCCCATAACCCATAACTGTACCAAACTCCCAGATGAGACAGACCTTTGTTGTAAATGTTCAAACTTTTAACAGAGCGAGTCAAGACGGATGTGACATAAACACTAGCTTCATTAATTATGCAATATTTTAAGTGGGGTTAATTTATATGCAGCAGACCGCAAACGGCAGGCGGAAATAAATAATACTAGCCTTCCCGTTATCATTGGATAACCCTGGTTTTCGAAAGGGGTTGGGGGATCATTCATAAATGACATCACGTTTGTTTGACGATTTTTATCTTTCCCCTCGCCACTGTAGCACATCTTAAAAAATGCCAGACCACATATTTAAAAATACGTCACGCCTTAAATTGTTTTTGTTTTTTAAAACACTGATTTCGGCTGCGCATGGGTCTGACCGCACTATCCCTCCATATGCTGGGGTCACAAAACTGGTTAACTCTACTTCATCTGCCCAGTGTTCCTCTTCATCCCGAAAAGTAACTTTATTGTTTATAATAGTTACATGTTTCTGTCTATTAAAAACATCTATTTCTTTCTATAATATTTTCTGAGATCGAACCTCATTTAAATAATAAATGAATAAATTATTAAAACTAATGTCAAACTAATAATAATAAATTAGAACCAATCATGTGTTTTGCGATTTCGCACTGCGCACTTTCGCACTTGGAGCTGGCATAAGAAAGTTAAATTACGCGAATATTATTTTAAGTTAAATTATATCCTATAGCGAATTCCATTGCTAAACAAAGATTTTTATAAAATAACTAGCGTACCCGCCCCTCGCGCGTTGCCGCGGGGATAGAAGGAAGTCTGACCAAATATATTAGAAGGATATCACCAATGCATTACCAATCATATGTTCTTAGACGCGTCACCTTGTTTTCTAAAACTGTGTTATATAAATGTAAGCAATACTTGCGCTTGGATAATAATTATCGGGACACGGGTTTACCTACACTACCGCATGAAAACATTGAGTGTACATTAATTACTCACCGAAATTATGAGGTAGAACACACTTCGGTGACCGCCCATGTGTCAGGGACGTAGAGGGGCGCTCTCAGGAGCCCCCCACCCCCCCCCCCCCCCGATTACACTACCGCATAGGCGCAGCGTTCGGCCCTGGCTCCTTAAAACTAACAGGCGCCATCGTGCTCATAGGATAACTCAGCATGCCAGATAGCATCCTGTTAATAATGATGCAGATTTCGTCATTCGCTAAAGTGACACAAATGAACAGGATTTTTTCTTAAATCGTAAAAAAATTATTTGACGAGTTTTAAACATCAGTGTGACTGATGCAATATGCTAGCGTTACTAATGGTCTATTATTAGACGCTCGATCTCAATTTCTGACTGGATCGTCTAATAATAGATGCTTATTGCATCATTCGCAAGGTGACGAAACTCTACAGTAAGCTACTCATATTCAAAAAGTTATTTTTTCCCACGTTTTCTTTAACTTGCTTTCTCTGTTTGTTTTTCCAATCAAATCTTGCGATCGAAATTTCTGGCACTTCCCAGTTAGCTAGCGCGCTGAAATTTTCAGGGAAGCTTTCTTTTGGATGACCATAGAATATTCAATTGTTTTTATTACTAAATTGATCAATGGAAACATTTTATTGAGCATTTTAGACCGCTATATAATCTATATATATAATTCTCCTCTGCGTGCCATTAGAAAAAAAACGAGCGACGCGTAGCTCGCCTCTCTCTTGCCGCGCGCAGTGAAGCGAACGATCCCACGTCGCGACAGGCTTAGGGGCAGATAATTTAGTTTGAACCGACTTTAAACTTACAGGAGGTAACTATTACCACTGGTGGCCAGTTTGGGGGAGACGATATGGTCGAGTGGTTGGGCACACGATTGCTATCCCACTCGACACGGGTTCAAATCTATGTGTTCTAGTCAGTAACCAGCCCTCGTCCTAACCGCTATCAACTAACCTCTGACAATCATTCACTTGCGATTGAGACCGAAGAAGAAAGGGTCTCTCGTTTTTTACGAGTTGTCTTTTTACGAGTTGTCTTCGTTTACCAAAAAAAAAGTGAAAAGATAAAATCGATAGCAAGATTTCAATGCAAACAAACAGACAAAGACTAAAAAGTAGAAAATAATAATCATTAAAAAAGTTTTAAAAAACCCACGTTTTCTGATTGAACTAAAAAGTAGAAAATAAATACTATACATCACAATAATGCAAGCGATCACTCTACTATAAGCGATGAAAAACGTGGGGCGCCGTGATTTTCTTACAGTTTCTAATACTGTTGACTCTCTACAAGCTCCCTAATAAAAGTCAATAGTATTATCTAATCAATAGTAATATAACTTTTACTTCGGCGCCCCACGTTTTTCATCGCTTATAGTAGAGTGATCGCTTGCATTATTGTGATGTATAGTATTTATTTTCTACTTTTTAGTTCAATCAGAAAACGTGGGTTTTTTAAAACTTTTTTAATGATTATTATTCATCTTTCGCAAGGTGACGAAACTGTACAGGATTTCCTCGCGTTACAAAGTTATTTTTAGAAGCCTGTTGTTGTTTTACCGCTGAATATAGTAGTACCCCTTACTCGCTATGCAGGACGCTCGATTTACGGATGCCAAGTGCCAACATAGGCGCTCTAAAACTCTGGGCGCCAAACCGTGTATTGACGAAAATTGTACCCTACATGGCGCCGCCCATAAGAAACTTTAGTTTTCTTTTTCGCAGAAATATTCTCGGGATTATTCTCATCTACTCCTTAAAGTTTCATGGCCTTCCGATGAACCGCATCCGAGTTTTATTTTTTATATACCGTGTATAGAGAAAAAAATCGTTCCCACCGGAGGCACCGCCCTTGCAATATTAATTTTTTTTTTTTTTGCAGAACCATTGAGTGATCTAATCATCTCCCCGAAGTTTCATTGTACACGAATGAACGGTGTGAAACCGAAATCGACTTTTATTGAATGGTGTCAAAATAAAAAATCGACTTTTATTTTTATATACTGTATATAGAGAAAAACAAATCGCGCCCTGCCGGGGTGCCACCCGTGCGAATT